AAAAAAAAAAACAAAACCGCTTTATTGAGCTATAGTTCACATAGCATACAGTTCACCAGTGGAAACTATACAGTTCAGTAACTTTTTGTGTATTCACAGAGGTGTGCAACCATCACCACAATATGTTCTAGAACTTTCTCGTTACCTAAAAGGAAATCCTGTGCTTGTTAGAATTCGCTCGTCATTTTACTCCAGTCTCCCAACCCAGGCAACTGCTAATTTACTTTTTGTTCATGGGGATGTCTGTTCTGCGTATTCTGTATAAACAGAATGATCTAATTCGTGGTCGTTTCTGACTGGCTTCTTTCACTTAGCATAATATTTTAATTTTTTTCCGTACTTCATTTCTTCTTATTGATGAATAATAATCCACCTATGGATATATCACATCATGTTATCAGTTTTTCAGTTGGTGGACATTGGGGTGGTTTCTACCTTTTGGCTATTGTGAATAATTCAGTGCATACTCATGCACAAATTTTATGCGGACATGTGTTTTCATTTCTCTTGGGATACACACACAGGAGTAGAAATGCTAGATCATATGCTAAGTGTGTTTAATGTTTGAGGAGCTGACAGACTGTTTTCTAGAGTGGCCATGTCACTTTACATTTCCACCGGGAATGTGTGAGGGTTTCTCTCTCCCCATATCCTTGACATTTTTATTGTTTGCTTTTTTTGATATTAGTTGTGCTAGTGGGTGTAAAGTAGTATCTCTTTGTCCTTTTGATTTGCATTTCCCTGATAGCTAATGATGTTAAGCATGGCTTCATGTGCTTATTGGCCATTTATACATTTTCTCTGGACAACTGTCTGTTCAGATCCTTGCCTATTGGGAAAATTATTTGTCTTTTTATTATTGAACTGTAAGAGTTATTTATATATTCTAGATACAGGTTCCTTATTAGATATGTGATTTACAGAAATTTTACCCTGTTCTATGGATTGTCTTTTCACTTTCTTGATGGTGTCTTTTCAATCACAGAAGATTTTAAATTTTGATGTCCGGGGCGCCTGGGTGGCTCAGATGGTTGAGCGTCTGCCTTTGGCTCAGGTCATGATCCCAGCGTCCTGGGATCGAGCCCCGCATCGGGCTTCCTGCTCAGCTGGGAGTCTGCTTCTCCCTCTCCCTCTGCCTCTCTCCCTGCTCATGCTCTCTCCCTCTCTCTCTCTCTCTCTCTCTCTGTATCTCTGTGTCTCAAATGAATAAATAAATAAAAAAAATCTTTAAATTTTGATGTCCATTTTATCTATTTTCTTCTTTTGTTGTTTTTGTTTTGGTGTCATATTTAAGAAACCATTGCTTAATCCAAGGTAATAAAGATTTACACCTATGTTTCCTTCTAGTAGGTTTATAGTTTTAGCTCTTACATTTCGGTTTTTGATCCATTTTGAGTTGATTTTTGTATATGGTGTGAGGTAGATGTCAAATTTCATTATTTTGCATGTTGATACCTGGTTGTTGCAGTACCATTTGTTGGAAAGACTTCTTTCCACACTGAACTATCCTGATACCTTTGTCAGAAACCAATCCCATGGTTTATTAAAGTGCTTTTATGGTTTTGTTTTTTATGTTAGGAATCTCTCTTAGTGTAAGGTGTGAGGTAGGCATACAACTTACTATTTTTTCAAATGGCTAGCCATTTTTCCCATATCATTTACTTTAATAATCTATCTCTCCCCATTGATTTGAGATGCCATTTTAAATCATGTCCTTTAGTCTTACAAATATTTGGACCCATTTATTGAGTTTTCTATTCACTTACCTATTTTTGCACCTATATCTGTCTGTTTTAATGATTG